TAGCCCAAATGATCAGTCATATATATTTCTAAAATTTTATTGAAAATTACTCAAAATAAGAGTTAAACATAGAAAAAAATATAATTACGAGTGTTTTCTTTCCTAAATATAGGATTTATGTAATTTTATTTTAAGAATAAAGGATAATAAGTTCAATAAATTTTATTATGCTTAACTGCTATTTAGATAATTTTCTCAAATTTTACCTACAATTGCATCACAATAGGAGTTTATATGTAAGTGAAAAGGTGGTATGGTGTTTTATTGATCTTGACAGTTATTTTATGGATGACTCCTAAAATTAATGTTGCAAGCGCTTCTGGGGTGTCATGTTATTGTTAGGTTCAATTGTTATTGATGACATTCATCAAGGTTTGAATATGTTTTTCTCAAATCCTTTTATTTTAGGGAAATTCTAGCTATGGTGCACTTCTAAATTTTGCATGTATGGTACACTTGTTGGAAATACTTTTAGATTTAGCGGAAGCAATACAAGAACACATCAAATGGATTGTTCAATAATTCCAGGACCTTCATCATATTGAATAATAGAGTATAATAAGATTACTATCTGGATCCATAGCGAAGTGGCAAGAGGAATGGAACGAGGTAGATGGCGTCTGGATCTTCCGAAAAACTGAATCAATTATGCGGCATTCAAAAAATTCGGCAGTAAAAAAAAATGGAAAGATACACTTTACCGATCCAACTATGAATTGTCGGTGATTATACCGACATTCCAATTGTAAATCGTAAGAACGATTTAAGACACAAAAAAAAATCAAAATATTCGATCCCTTATAAGTCATCAACTACCGATATGAATACTTTAGGAACGAATTACGAGTAAACGTAATCTCGCATTACCCTCGATCCATAACAAAACGGCAGATCATATGACATAAACAAAAAATCCAGAAATTCAATCGTTTAAGATTGAAACAAGAAATATGAAAAAAAAAAACTCCAAATGATTCAACATGAAGGAGGCTCTGATACCAATTGCAGTTATCCTACCAGTCCAAAGATTGGGGTTTAATGTTGCGCTAGGTATCTTGTTTGAGTCTTATAATTTCACAAAAATTGATGTGCGTAATAATATGGTACTTGATGCACATGCACACACGCATGAAATTAATTTAGTTTTGTACCTAAAGACACATGGTGGGTAGATTCCGGTGCTACTACTCACATAAGTATGTCTATGCGGGGTTGCATATGGAGCCGTCCACCAAATGATGCTGGAAAAGTATATTTATGTAGGCGATGGCAATAAAGTTTAAGTTCAAGCAATAAGAACTTTTAGACTACTTTTAAAGACTTGTTTTTTATTTGAATTTAATTGAGACTTTTGTTACACTGTCTATTAGACGGTATTTAATTTCCAATTTATGTTTTTGACAAATATAGTTACTCTTGTTCATTTGGAAATTATAAAGTTAGTCTCTCTTATAATTCAAATATTTTAGGTTATGAGTCTTTACTCAATAATCTTTATATGCTTGAGAATTCGGTCATTTTATGGCATAAGCTAAAGAAAGAGTTTGAGAACCACTAAGGGATAATCACCTAAAGTCTTTCGTGAGTGTGGTTGCCAAAGTTGTTTAGTTGAGTGGGAGTTAATCTCTTATGATTTAATTTAGTGATATAAAACTCAAGGATTCTGCAGAAATACAGTTTATTAGCTTTATAGCTAAATTTTTGTATCTAGTTGAGTGTAATATTTAATTTACACTTAAGAGACTTAAGGTTGGTCTCAATAAAGACTAAAGGTGGACCAGTTGAAAATAGGCATGATGGAGACCATTTCACATGTAATTTTCATGCTGCTCACCCATACAGATCTATGTCATCAATTGTATTTTTTATGGTGGTTGTTGTGGTTTAGTCATGAATTAACAATATGACAAAAGCCGCAGTAATCCCATTATTAATACATGAGGTGGACCAGATTGACTAAGTTCAAGTCTAAAGATAAATAGCATACTAAGGCGCGCCTAAAGAAATATAATTACAATATGTAGCCCAAGTGGGAGATTGTTGGAATATTTTATTTCAATAATTAATATGGGCTAATATTATAATTATTGTATTAGCTATTTATCAATTGGGTTTTATTTATGTGGTCAATATTATCTAATTAAGCCCAATAGACTATTAAGATAAATTGTATGGGCCAAATAAATGGGCAGAGGCCCGTGTTGCTTGTTAGGGTTTAATGGGAGCCCTAGCTAGACCAACACACTCTATAAATAGGCTATGGTCCCCAATACATTGAACCACCACCAATTCACTTCTCTTCTCCCCATCGGAAGAGAGACTAAGGTCTCGGGTTCAATTGAGGAAGATCCAGACGCCATCTACCTCGTTCCATTCCTCTTGCCACTTCGCTATGGATCCAGGTAGTAATCTTATTATACTCTATTATTCAATATGATGAAGGTCCTGGAATTATTGAACAATCCATTTGATTTGTTCTTGTATTGCTTCCGCTAAATCTAAAAGTATTTCCAACAACACTTTCTTATGTAGGCAAATAAAACAATGTCACATGGACATTAAATCCATATATATTTTAATTATTTTCCATGTGGTACAATATTATTGGCTCCCCTATGGTACAATCAAATTAAGGGGTGCACTAGAGAACTCCCCTTTATTTTATGCTTCTTTAACTTGTCTATGATCAACTCATCTATGAGACTATATGATGACACCATTAACTACAAGATTGGAATATATGTCATTGGTTTTCATACAGTCGAGACATATTTGTGGGTCTAATGCAATACCGCTATGACGCGACATAACAGAAAACTCATGATTTGTTGCTTTATTATTTTCTTACCTATTTCATTACTCTGAATTACATTTTATTTTTCATTTTGATTTGGGTAGAGTTGTAAGTGTTTCAAATCACGATAAAAACATGAAAGTTTATTTGTGGATGACAGAGTCAAAGAAAGTCTGATAATTGGGTTTTTGCATGGGGTTGAAATGATCTTGAGTATATTGTTTTTTGATTTATTAATTTGACTATAGATTATTTCTATTAAAAAACGAGTACAAATGATTTTAACTACTAACTCTTTATCTTGAAAAAATATGTGCAAGATCAGATAAGATACAACTAAATAACTAATGCATGTCATATCTTTAAGGGCAGATTGAGAAAGTTGATCTAATGGGGTCGTAATTAAACTAAAACCGTGTTATAAATTCAGAGTTATTTTTTAGACATATAAGTTTTTAAAAGAAAAACTTTTAGAAATAAAAGTTTTTAAAATTTTTAGTACTGAGTACCAATTAGATCAAAGAAAAGGTCGAGAGGATGAAAGTAGCTAGATTACTCTAAAAGAGTGTTAATAACTTAACATTGTGCTCGTTCTTTCAAACAAATAAAACATTCAATCACACCCTTTGAGTTAAGAGTTTTTGCAATTTCACTTTTTTTAAAATGAAAACAACTAAAAGTAAAGAAACGAAAAGGAAAATAAAGAGCAGGAAATACACCTATAATTAGCTCAACCCCAAGTATCTCAACCCCAAGTATATAACAAATCAAGGAATCCAAATAGCTCAATCTCAACTGCAAATTAAAAATCCAAACGTGATAGGGGTCTGATTCTCATAATATGTGAACGCATAACGTTGATGCTTCTTCTGGAGTATAACTTAATTTGAGTGTTTAGATTCTTTATAGGCAAACATTTATCCTTCCTGATCAGTCTTGATTTGTTACGGATAACTTCATTTGTATCGGAATCCCATAATTACTTGGTTTTCTCTTTTTTATTCTTCACCTTTATAAAATTTGTAATTAGAATTCAGATGGGCCAATATGAAATTTATTTATTTGCTCGGGGCTATAATAATTTAATATACATGTATCTATTTTCTTTTGGGTGTCGGGGCCAATTAAGTACCAACAACAGGACGGTACTACATACCTTATAGAGAAATTTGCTCCCAGTAGGACCAAATCATAGATCTTTTACAAAAATAGAACTCCCTGATGTTTTTTCCATCCGTATAACATATTTAGTTCTACAACAGGAAACTTATTTGTAACCATCCAAATTTGCCCTTCATCTTTTTATGAAGTTAAAATAACTTCTGCTTCTAACTTCCGCTTTTTATAAAGGATGCTAGATTACCCATGCTGCTTCATTGTGGAGTTTTCGACAACCTGTCGATGTGATTTCATCATTAGATATAATAAATTGTGTATATATATTGTTTTACAGAACCTGCTCTGTTATTGAGCTATTATCAGAACTTATTGTCTGTTTAATGACTACTTACTGTTTACGTATTGTCTGCTATTGAGCTATTATCAGAACTTATTGTCTGTTTAATGACTACTTACTATTGTGGAATATGCCCTGAGAAACTATCTCAATGAATGTTTCATTAAATTTGTTCTTCAAGTGGATATAATCTATGATGATCAGATGATAGTGGTTTTGGAAATCGGAATCAGAATGCCATTTCATTATTATTTTTCTATATTTTGCATGGACTTGTATTAAACTATTATTAACTAGTATTATAAACTAAGCTAACACTATAAAGTATAAACTGTATGTTGGGATTAAGGTAAGGTATGAACCCAGGGGCGGAGCTAGGACACTGGGCCGGACTGGGCCGATACAAAGAATATTTTAGGAAAAAATTTCACACGGAATTTTTTACACTAAAAATATAGAGATTTTTAAAATTTGGGCTGGGCCAGGGCCAGGGGTGGCCACCCCTAGCTCCGCCCCTGTAATGAACCTTGTTGAGGTCATGGGCCCCTCCAATTTTTTTATGTGAATTGACAAATGCGGAATATTGTTTAACACCATATACACATAGTTAGTGGTTATATTTGAATAGATATCGTTGATTCGTTGGTGTATTCCTATTGTTTGTGATAGAGTTGGTAGTTGATATTACGCATTAATTATACATTTATGATTTTATTAATTGGCATATCTCTTCCCTTCCCACTTCAATAGGCGGAGGAAGTGCTTAAGTATGTAAAGTTTGGAGTATGGTGGACTCTTCTTGGTGTTGCATCTTCAATCGGCCTTGGTAACCTTAATTAATTAGTCCATAGTTTAATTTATTTAGTTATCAACTTAAGAGTAAAACTCTGATGTTGTCTTACTCTGTGTTTGTTTGATATAATGCAGGATCTGGTTTGCACACGTTTGTTTTGTATCTGGGCCCACACATTGCTCTTTTCACTATAAAAGCAATGAAGTGTGGTCGGGTCGACATCAAGACAGCTCCATATGATACGATTCAACTTAAAAGAAGCCCATCATGGCTGGGAAAAGATTGTTCTGAGTTTGGGCCGCCATTGTTTTCTTCTTCTAATGGCCCACGGGTCCCGTTGAGCAGTATATTGCCCCAGGTGCAGCTAGAGGCTATATTGTGGGGCCTGGGTACCGCACTTGGAGAGCTGCCCCCTTATTTCATTTCAAGAGCAGGTAAAGACTCAAAAAACCTTTAGTGTTTTCATGGCAGTGCAGCTCGTTTTCTAAATCCCCTTCAAAGTTTGATTTGTTTAGAAGGAATTGTGAAACAGTTAAAGTCTAATATAGTTTCTTGAGTATAAATGGTTACTCAATTCAGTTTTTTTTTTGTTTCTTACGAAATTTGATCTTCAGTATGCATTTTGAGTTCAGTTTAACCCGCGTGCAGCTTTGGTTTGATTAAGGGCATTTTCATCCTTTTAGTGACTACAGATGTAAATTGTGTCCAAAAAACCCAACAGCCGAATTAAATATATTCGAAGAACTAAATAGGATATTATCTCTAATAAGAGTGCAAGTCTTTCATTAATGATATAGATATTTTATATTTGTTTATATTCTGATATAACTAAACTTCTCATACATAACTCTTTAAAATAGTTTATTTGGAAACCAAATATAAACAATTAGCTTCACTTGTTTGACGGACTAAAATGACCTTTTAATTAAGAGCCAAACATGTGTGAGGGGCTGAGGGCTAAATCGATTCCAACTTACATAATTGAGTCTAAGAATAGATATGGACTAAATATTGAATATTTATAAATGAGGGAATATGTTAGGTATCCTCTGTACTCTCTTTGTATGTACCTTTCTGATATTTTTTTAAATATTTTTTTTATGCTTGCAGTAATGTTAATGGTACTTATAATTATTACATGCACATGCTCTTAAGCTCTTATAGTAAAGAGCTTTTCTATGTGTCTCATGATATGGTAAGACTCCTTAAATCTCATGATATCCTTTTCAGCACGCCTTTCGGGAAGTAGATCAGAAGAACTGGAATCTCCATCAGATGAGGATAGTGGGTTTCTAGCAACTAAATTAAATCAAATCAAGTGCTGGTTTGTTTCCCATGCACAATATTTGAACTTCGTCTCAATCCTGATTCTTGCTTCGGTTAGTTTATTGAATATAATTTTTCCATTTCTTTTGATTTTTCACCGACTTTTAGAAAATTTCCTAAGTTAACTGACCAAATACTTTTTTTGACAAATACTTCAATATTTGTTTCTCTCCTCTGCTGCTTTGATGAGTTAAACACAACATTTAGAAATTTATATTATTGATCATCCAAAACAATTGGCTGTGTAGGTGCCCAATCCTCTATTTGATTTGGCTGGAATAATGTGTGGACAATTTGGCATTCCATTCTGGGAGTTTTTCCTTGCTACTTTGATTGGAAAGGCCATTATTAAAACTCATATTCAGGTATGTCATGTTTGTATCAAAACCCAAAGCTAATCTAATTATTAGTTTCTCGCTTCATATTTGAAGATAATCATTTTCTTTTTCGACAGACTGTCTTCATAATTTCAGTTTGCAATAATCAACTACTTGATTGGATGGAAAATGAATTGATCTGGGTTCTCAGCTTTGTTCCTGGTGTTGATTCCTTCCTGCCCAACATGATCAGCAAGCTTCATTCCATTAAAAATACATACATGGCATCCAAACCTCATCCAACTTCAGATGCTAAGGTGACCAGTTGATTCTTTCCTCTTCATCCATTGAATCTTTCACTCCATTTTTCCTTCAATAATTATTTTTCTTTCTACAATTTGATGTTTGAATAACATTATAAAAATATATTACCTTTTTAGGTTCAACTAGGGGTGCAAATGAGCTGAGCCGCTCGTGAGCGGCTCGGTCAAAGCTCCAATTGAGATCGCTCAAACTCGAGCTCGCAAGCCGGCTCGCGAGCCTAGTTATATGTGTGTGTATTTATATTAATATATGGTGAAATTGACAAGATTAATCCGTACTTTTCCAATTAAACAAAAATAATCTCTACTTCAAACTTTTACACTAATAATCCAAACTTCCAATCATGGTCACAAAAATAAAATTAGGAGAACGGAGTTATCCTTTACACAAATGCCGTTAAACTAATTGTATGTTCCCTCTCTGTTCTCTTCTTTTCGTAACAAGAGAAGCCATGAGTAATCCATCTCTGTTTCGTTCCCACACATACACAATTACTCTATCATTGCATAACTGGGGACATATAGCAGTTGAAGAGGCACCACAAACTTTAGTGGAAGAAGACTGAATCGATTGGATTTTAACAACAATCTATACATAAAGCTATTTTATATCTCAAATAAATTTTGAAAACTTGAAATTGCTGGTGATCTCAAAGTGTTTTATTTTTCCGGCGCATCCTTTGTTCTTGATTCTTGAATATAGGAAAAAAGAACTTAAAAGCTAAAATAATTAATACTCCGTATAAAATATGAGTGCTGAAACTATCCATATAGAGCTTTCACCCACTATTTCTTTATAAAAATAATTATTGGTAGATAAGATTCAAATAAAAGAAGATGGAGAAGAATTGAATTTATATCGGCTCAGCCGTAGCGATTCACTTTTGTAGTTCTGTAAGCAAACGGAGGTCCAGACATAAAATGACTTCCGTCTAATTGATTCTGTTTCTAACACTGGAACGGGAAGTTTGGATTAATGGGGTAAATATTTGAAGTAGGGATTATTTTTGTCCATTTCGCCTTAATATATATATATATATATTAATATACATTATGAATTAATATATAATACGGGGTACATATTAGTATATGTAATATATAATATAAATTAATATTTTTTTATTTTTAAATTAATATATATATATAATACTGATTCATAAATGTATATGAGGATCAGGGAGATATTATTAATTATAAAGTAATTTAACAAAAATAATCAAAGTTTCATCCACTACTTTTTCATGGTTTGACCACTTTTGATTTATATTAGAAGTACAACTGGGTAGAGACTTGAAGTTAGGATTATATTTTGTTTATTTTCCCTTAAGGTTTAGTTGTTGGGCATGTTAATTGCAATTTGCAAATGTTAAGCACAAATATTTAGAGATTGTTTCATACTTGAGCTCGAGTTCGAACCCGAACTTACGAGCTAATCGAACTTGTAACTTTTGAACGAACCAAATTTATCTAACGGAATCGAGCCAAATCGAGCCGAGTCGAGCCGAATCAATATTTGCGAGTCGAACTCGAGCCCGGATTTTTTAAGCTCGTTCGAGCTGAGCTCGAGCTCGAGCCAATACAATATAATTCGAGCTCGAGCCTACATAAACTCGGGCTCGGCTCGGCTCGGCTCGTTTGCACCCCTAGGTTCAACAATATCATTCTAGGCAGTATGCACTACCACGAATGATACAATTTCCTGCAATCTAGTAATGTTGAATGTGTGTGTGTTTTATTTTCAAGAGCTATTTTATGAATATTAGATAAACACATTAGCTGAGTGCTCTTTTATACTTGTTTATTTCCATATTTTAAGTCACCAAATGGAGAAAATACCCAAAATGTGACAACTGACAACTCCTTAGGAACGGCGAGTAATAGTCATAGCTTATAATTTGTATGGAGTATTACAAAAGATGTAGTCAGATAAGCTAGTTGTTCTCATGTAGAGTTTGGAAAAATTAGGAGATAAGCTAAAATTGAAATGTTAAATAGCGTAAAAAATTCATTTAAAATGGATTTAAAATATGAGGCTAAAGTTGGAACTACTCCAAGAGGATTATCAACTAAAGTTAAGGTTATTAAGTAAAATCCTCAATCCAAACACAACTTATTTGTATTGCACCCTCTTTAGAAAGGTAATAGTCAGCTTATAGGCTAGCTTATGGAATACAAAACATAGCTCATCTGCTCATTTTAATGTTTGGTTTCTCAGGAGAATAATTCCACAAATATATCTTATGAGCATATAATATCTCTTACTACGTATTATTTTTGGCTTTTATTGTGATCAGGTAAACAATTGGGAGTTCTCGTTGGGTTTAGTTTGGAACACAGTAGTATCGATTGTGCTTCTCAACTTTTTCTTCAAGATCATAAATGCAACTGCACAAAGTTATCTGAAGAAACAGCTCGAGACGGAGATCACTGCCAAAAAGGGCAAGTCCTCCATCCATTGATTGCATTCGGCTGTGAATTAGGCAGACCTTACAGGCCACTACGTATGTACGTTCAGCTTCGCCTCTCACACTAATCACCATTTATCTCTCCCTGTCAGAAACTTTTATAGCTGGGGAGAAGATCGAATACAGAAATCACAGGTTAAATGTTTTATTTTAGCAGCCGGATTGCCATTGTTGGAAACTCTCTGCTTTGCGCATTATCAGAGATAGAGAAGTTAGCATTGTTTACTATTTGGCTGGCAAAACTGTTACAGACTCCTTTCGGTCGTTACTGATGTCTGTCCATTATCAAGAGATAGAAACTTGGCTGTATTTTCTACTTCTTCACGATAAGGGAATTTGGTAGACTTATTCTTCTTTGTTTCACTGTTATTAAGTGACACACACCTATCAAATACTTTTATGCATGCGTTGGCTGAACGGGAGCTAATAGAAAAACATTGGTCCTGCAATTACTTTTGTATTCAATATTCACATGAGAGGAAATCATACATGCTTTTTTTTGCTTTTATATAATCTTTATTTTGTAGATTATTCAGACTCCAAACCTTCATGTTGTTTCTTTGAAGGTGGTCGTCTCAAAATTTGATCACACTTTTCTTGAGTCTAAAGTAAGTTTGTTAGAAGATAATTGGATTTTGAGTTATTTGGCTGATTGTAACTGTAAGCCATTAGTTAGGTGTTTTTCCTTTGAAAAAATATATGATTTCACATTTTCACGTACTAATAAGAAATTATTAAAAAAATGATCAAATAATAATCTAAACGATCAGTCCAACCATTACTCCAAGAAAATTGTTTGAATTTAGACATATGTTCAAAAGCGTCTGTAAAGTTTAAGAATACAACGTCAAAATATAACTGTGTTTTTGGAATTATTTGTATAGTCAACATCTTACTAGAAGTTTTTATTTTAATATATTAACTTTTGGATTTTTTTTATTTTCAATCTTTAATTTTATTAGCGTTTGGTACTATTTCATCCAAACCGTATTAAATTGAACCGATTCGAAACCGATAAAAACTGAACAAAACTGAACCGAATTAAAGAAATTCAAAAAAAATTCATATATTATTAAAAATTAACCAATCCAAACCGAACCGAAAAATAGTATGGTTTTTGTTCGGTATAATTCTTCTAACTTGTTCCAAACTGAACCGAACCGAAATCGATAAAAACGGAATCGAAAACCGATATGCCCAGCCATAATTTGAACTAGTATTTAAGAACATTTAATTGAACTAGTAATTGCCTATGTTTAGGGTTGGACAACTTGGACCGGGACCGGTTGGACCAGTGGCGGATCCAGGAATCGGAAGTATTGGGGGCAGAGAAAAAATGGCGTGCATGAAGAAAAACCCTAATTTGCGGTGTTTACACGAGAATAGCAAAATATATCTGAATAGTAAAAATTTGTAATAAGGTTCAAGAGAATTTCCAAAAAATAGTATTATTACAATAGTAAAAAAACGTAAAAAAAATGAATCACAATTGCTCTTTTCTTGTTTTCATCTTTTGAAAGAGATCTTATTGCACATCCAAATTGATTTCTTGGGGAATTGAAATACTACTTCCATCCCGTTTTCGTTAGTCATCTTTGACTTTTCCAATAAAATATCATAAATTTGATCAATTATTTTAACTAATATATTTATGCAAAATTTAATTATTTTATACTTTTATGATAATATTTTTGACACATAACATTTTCATATCATTTTCATATTATCAATACTTCTGTTATAAATATATAGTTGGTCAAAGTTAGACACCATTGACTTCAAAAGTCATGTTTGACTAACTAGAATGGAACGTAGAGAGTAGCACATTGAGAAATACTACTACACACATTTGAACTTGAACTTTCCAAGGTTAAGGAAGGTGTTTTGTTCAAAAATCTATTTATGAAATCTAGTAAAAAATGTAATTAATTCTTTAATAACTAACGTACTCTTTTGCGTCTTTATATATATTACTACGTATTATTAAACCTTCAGCTAGAGCCTAGAGTGATACTAATGTGGAAATTATATTTTATATGGCTTTTCGCTTTTTCTAATTCTTAAATCGTAATACTATTATAGGCGGTTGTAGGTTTTAGATCGTTAATTTTAACCTAAACACAAATAACCAAATTCACAATAACACTTTAACACATAGATAATACAATACTTTAGTCAAACTACCCTATTCTAATTTTGAGATTGTATTACAAAATCGGAAGTATGCGTTCCGTATTATGTTAGGGGCATCAGTTAGTGGGTTATCTTATTTTATTTGGCTTTACTAGAGTTGGGGGCATTTAACTTTTTTATTGGGGGCATTAATATAGGGTGAATTTTTCCCTATAGGAACTTCTCCGTGCACCTCAAAGATTTCTAAGCGCACCCATTTTATTACTGATATGGACAGCTTTGCCCTGCGCATCACTTTTTTTTTTTGTTTCATAATCCATATGTTTAGCTCATACGGGGTACATTGAGCAATAACGGATTAGCCCATTAGCCCTTACCAGTACTTTTTTTCCGTCCTCCAAGTACCTTCTAATTTTTTGGTTTACTTTTCTTATTTTAAAATTATGGTTGTTCATGCATTTAAATTACCATATATAACAAAAAACTAGGGGTAAGAAATAGGGATATCTATATACTTGGTATTAATTAAACTAAAAGAAATAATAATAAAAATGTATTTATTTCAAAGAACACCTCTTCAATTTCACACGCATAAACTTTCATATACTTTTTTTTACAACTCCCATATACTTAGGTTTTGTTTGCAAACACTATTAATAAATAGTAAGTGCTTTTGAACTGTTTAAAGTGATTTTGGAAAAAATGTTTAATAGTAAAAATTGATAGTGTTTAAGAAAAAATGATTTTGGAAAATAAAAGTTGGTAGTATTTGGTAAAAATAAGTGCTTTTGTGTAATAGAAAAAAACAGAATCTAGCTTTCAGCTTGTAAGTATTAATTTAAGGTAGAAGTTCTCACTTGAAAACACCCTTTTTAACTTTTTTTAGTCAAAAGCTGGGAAGCACTTTTTTTGTGTTTGCAAACTAAGTCTTAGTTATATGATTCTAGCTATCTCTTAATTCCACAAAGTCTTTAACTTTTATGATTAAGATTCAATTATTTCGATGATTAAGATTTAAATTATTCTTACATTTTTTGGTAATTATGTTAGACTTGAATTTTATACGCGAGTAAAAAGGGTGCTTGCATTGATTTCTAGTACCTGTGGTCGAGGTGAATTATATTATACTCCCTCCGTTCTCTAATAGATGTCTCACTTTCTATTTTGGGTTGTTTTTTAATATTTGTCCCTCTTTCCATTTTTAGAAAGTTTTTCCATTAAATATACTTATATACCCTCATTCTCTTTCGTACTTTTTCATTCTTTTTCATACTTTTTCATTCAAACACAATGTCACAACCCACTACACCTTTTACATTACCCTATTATTTTCTCCTTAAAACTTGTGCCAAACTCTATACTCCCATCTATTAGAGAACAGAGGGAGTACATCTTTTAACTTTCAAATATAATGATTTATTTTTGGGGACATAACTCAAAATAACACTACATTCGTCCCATTGGGTTCACATTGCAAAACGACACAATTATTTAGACAATAATTAAATAAGATAATTCGAGTATATAATTTGAGAAATAATTTTCATAGGTATATAACATAATGGGGTTGATGTTGATAAATCTGATGTTATAAATTTATTATTTTAAATATTTGATGATTAAATTATCATTTAACAATATTAATTATTTCTTAAAATAGAAATGAAAACTTTTATGTGGGACGTCCAAAACAGAAAAGTGAGAACATTTATATGGGATGGAGGAAGTATCAACTACTCTATATTATCCATATACCAAGAATCATACGAAGTGTGTACTTTAAAATTAATATTTTTTAATATATTTTATAAAATTGGACTAGAAACGCTCTATGACGTTCTTTGAATCATTATGTAATTCTTGTTTTGTATGTATTCTTGCTCAAAATAAATACGGAGTATGAAACAAGATAAAAAAATGTACTGATTTTCCTATATTATTATACTCCCAAACAAGTTTATTATGCGATGAAATCTAGGTTGTTCGGTACAAATCATATACTCCGACTCCGTAAGTGTTTAACTTACAAATGATGTAAACAAAAAAAAGAGATGTACGCGGATTCATTTTGCTAAAAAAACGTAAACGGGGACATTTTTGTCAAAGAGAGGTGCGCACAGCAATTTAATAGGTGAGTGAAGCATAACCCTTTTCCTATTCTAATACAAGAGATAATTGGAGTCCGGTTCGGACAGCTACTATGTGGTACCAGTCCGGCCCGATTGACCGGGACCAGGAATGGTCCTTGGGCCCAGACGGGGGGGGGGGGGTAACGGACTCTACCCACTTGGAACCAGCCCGGACGGTCTGGTCCAAAAATGTGTCTTTTTTAATGGATTGGGTGTTAGGCGGGTTGGGCTGGGTGGTTTGGGGGTGTTTGGAGGTGGGTAGGAATAAATAACGAAAACAAGATTAAAAAAATACGAGTATATAAGACCCGATCCAGGCCCGGCCCGTTCCCGGAACTGTACCTACCCGGGCTGGTACTGGGCCTCCAACTCCCAACCCCAGTCCCGCACTCCCGCCCAAGACACGACCCGGACCCAGTCCCGATCCGGGTAACCCTACCTATGTTCACCACAATGCATCCAATAGCCTTTGTAGAGTTGAGGCAAAGGGTATGATTCTCGTTTCTTGCGTCGCTTGGGGAGATGAGAGGAATAAGGCTGAAAGTTTGCTGAGTGTGGAGACTGGAGAAGATAAACATGAAAAGGCGATGTTTATCTTTTGTTTGGTGAGCAATTTGCGAACGCTTAAAAATAAAAAAGACACATGGATAAAGATATGAGATTAGTGAAAATATAATTGGGAAGATAACACGTAGCTTTAGTCTCATAGAAAATAATTACTCCGTTTTTAATGTACCATAGACGCTCACACGGGAAGGGTTAGTAAATTAATGGGTGTTTGGCAATTGACCGTTGGCGATTAGCTTATTTATAATAGCGGATTCTGTTAGCTGTTTTGATTGGCTGATAATATTAGCTGTTCATAAAATGATGTTTAGTTAAGTTAAATGACCATTTACAATCAACTGATAAAAAAAAAAAGACTATCACGGAATCAAATAATTTTTAGCTTCAATAATAATAATTTTAATATTGTCGTTGCTATTATAATTATTATTAATTTTATTATTATTATTATCATTATTATTATTTATTATTATCATCATTATTATTATTGATGTTATTATTTTGAGATAAAAAGGTACATACGGAATAGTATATTTTAATATATACTGACTTCATGACTTTAAAAAAAGTTTGAAAAGAATATTTAATTTTATTAATTGCATGCTTAGCTTGCTTCCTATAGTGTTCTTTTTCCTCTTTGTAAAAAGTTGAAGATAGCGGGAGTAGTTTTTCTCTTTGATGGAAGCAGGTAGTAGATACGAC